AAAATGTACCAATAAATGTTTTACTTCAAAACGAAGCTGATGAGGGATTAACAGTCACATAATTTCAATGTACTCCCCTGCCACAAAATCCTTATTAATTACAAAGGTAAAGAGTAACTGACCAAGGGCCGGGGGTTTATGCGCAAGGTCCAGAGTTCGATCCCCAGTACCAAAAAAAAAAAACAAGAGTAACTGACCAGGGAGAAATCTGGCACACACAAATGCACTCAAAGCAACATGTCAAGTTGAAATGAAAGCCACCTGATACAATGCAGTAGGAAGAATACAACATCCTTCTGTGACAGCCCTGCCATAGGTTAATCAAGTTTAATCATGATGAAATATCAGACACACCCAGATGGGAGTGGTGGTGCATGGAACTCAGAAGGCTGAGGCAGCTGCAAGTTCCAGGCCAGCCTGTGATACATAGTGAGTTCAAGGCCAGCTTGAAATACACAGTGAGAACTTGTTTCAAAACACCAAAACAAGCTGGGCATGGTGGCACACATCTGTAATCCCAGCACTTGGGAGGCTGAGGCAGGAGGATCACCATGAGTTCGAGGCCAGCCTGGGATACATAGGAAGACCCTATGTCTCAAAAAGGGGGGGGGGCTAGGGATTTAGCTCAGTGGTTCTAGTGCCTGTCTCAAAAGCTCAAGGTCCTGAGTTCGATCTCTGGTACTAAAAAAAAAACAACCCAGAGATTCTTGCTTTCAGGAAATACATGCTAAATTACTTGGGGGAGACTGGACAACATATTGTCAATTTGTTTTCAAATGATTGAGGAAAAAAGTTATGTTTATTCATACAAAGTTTCTGTCAGTTTTAGATTTTTTTACAAAACAAGAAGAAAAGAAGAATGGGAATGACTTAGAGGAGAGATTTTAGATGGTTCCCCACAAGTCAAGGCTGTGCTGGTATTCCTACTGTTGATATAATGTTGGCAGTTCTGTATAATCACATAAAAAAGCAACAAAAACAAAAGTGATGGAGACAATGTCACAATTAGGAGAAACAAGTTCTGGTGTTTTATTGCACAGCTCATGGCTATAATAACAATAAAGTTTTTACGAGTTCGATCCCTAGTACCAAAAAAAAAAAAAGTTTCTACTGTACACTTCAACATAGAAGGAAAGATTCTGAAAATTTTCACCAAAAGAAACAATAAATGTTGACAGGTGTGGTGACACATGCCTGTAATCACAGTGCTAGGGAGACTGAAACAGGAGGATCACTGCGAGTTTGATGTTAGCCGGGGCTACATAGTGAGTTCAAGGCCTGCCTGAACTACAGTCATATCTATCTTTTTTTTTCTTGGTACCGGAGATTGAAATCAGGACCTTGTGCTTGTGAGGCAGGTGAGGTGCCACTGAGCTAAATTTTGGGCCCTATGGCCAGCCTGAACTACATAGCAAGACTCTGTCTCAAAAAATATATATAACTGTTTAAGGCAATGGATATTCTTTTTTTTTTTACTTTTCTTTTTTGGTACCGGGGATCAAACTCTGGTTCTTGCGCTTGAGCAGCATGCGGCGAAACCACTGAGCTAAATCGCTGGCCCGGCAATGGATATTCTAATCACCCTGATTCAATCATTATGTAACGTTTACAAATATCAAAAGACCAACTAGATGCCAGGGATTTAGCTCAGTGGCACCGCACCTGCCTCACAAGCACAAGGTCCCAAGTTCAACCCCCAGTATCACAAACAACAACAAAAACAAAACACCAACTGGACAGGTGTAGCTGTAATCCCAACTACTTGTGAGGCTGAGGGAGGAAGATTGCAAGTTTGAGGTCAATCTGGAAAGTTTAGTGAAATGAAACCTGTCTCAAAATAATTTTTTTTTTTTAGCAAAACATTTATTGGTACATTTAGATATACATGATGATAACATTCATTATAGGAAATTTGTACCAGTACATGATATATCTTGATTCTTCTTTTTTTCCTCATCAAAAGGGCCACAATGTAGCTCAATGGTGGAGCACTTGCCTAGCATCCCCAAGGCCCTGGATT